GGCCGAGCATATTAGAGGACATGTGGTTATTCCCTCTATAGTAGTGGTCCCCAATCTTTCTGGCATCAGGCAGTATTTTCATGGAAGACAATTTTCCCACGGATGGCAGTCGGGGTGTGCAGGGAGGGATGGTTTTGGGGTGATTCAAATGCATTACATTTATTGTGCACTTTATTTCTATTATTATTACATTGTAATATATAATGAAATAATTATACAACTCACCAGAGGTCGGGGACCTCTGCTCTATAGCTCTCTGCAATTCCTTTCCCTTCATAAACTTGTAGTGAAGTAAATGTTAACACTCTTAGCAGGATTGAAAAGAACTCCCACAGTTTCCTATGCTCCTACTAAGATATTCCTCTTTTTCCCTTACAAAACTCTGCATCGACACTACAAATTGCCTAAGAGACCAGTTCCAAGAAGAAGGCTACAATTTAAATTGATTATCCATCTTTTCTTAAGAGACCTTTAGGACTATTCTATCTTATATCCCTGTTTACTTCAGACTGCACATTCAAGACTCTTAATTCCCTGAATTAGTTTACTAGGATTAGCTGTTGATGACAGTAACTTAAATATGATAAAACTATTCTGTATCATTTAAAAGTTCAAATAGGTGATACCGGACTGATATGACTTTCCACAAAGTCAGGAATCATGCCTCTTTCTATCTTGCTGTGTTATACAGGGCCTTGATGGCATGGCATGGGGAGTGTTACTCTTCTTTTTCATATTTTTATTTGCCAGTTATGCTGTGATTTTATATAATTTTTATGAGATAATAAAATGACTTCCTTAGTAACTCACTTTTCACATTGTTACTCCAGGTAACTATTACAATTGATCATTGTATCTACCCCTCACTGAATGTATTAATACCCAGACTGAGCCACTAGGCTGATGATGTTGTAATATCTTCATGTGGGTTTCAGAATTGTTAATGCCCTGTGTGGCCACGCCTAGTTTTGAGGGCAACTGGGAAATACAGTCTTTATTCTAGGCGATCAGGTGTACAGCAAAACTTCAGATTTTTATACCACAGAAGCAAGGATGACTGCATATTGGAGGGCAGCCAGCTGTTTCTACCATTTCCCACCATCTCAGGCTCTTAGCTCTTCATTATTTAAATCCTTCCGGAACTCTGTGTGTCATTAGCCAAGTTGGTGTCCTTAACCTTTACTCTGAATGATCCCTTTACTTTCATAGTCTAACTTAAATCTGGATGTTCCCAAGGAAATGGCTTTTCCTATAGATCTTTCAAGTAGAAGCTATTTTACCTGTCAGATTCCCATGTGCCAAAGGGCCTTGTTTCTTATTACTGTGTCTGGACAACTGATTCTCTTTTTCCTTCTCTAAAATCTCCTTGTCCTTTTGAAACAAGTCCTACCAGATTAAACCATTCTCTGCCCTGCTTTTTTGCAGTCATCTGCAGATATCTTTGCTGTTACTGCATCTAATGAATATTTTAGCATATGGCTAATTTTCTCTATCTCCACCACTCTTCTTGTCCTTATTCTCAGTGATTTAAATATCCACAAATCAATCTAGTCCATTCCCTGGCCTGTCAGTTTCTTGACCTCAGCCACTCACTTTCACAGTCATAACCTACCTTGTCATTACCAATATCTATATTCTTTCTAAAATCTGTTTTAAGCATTCCATTGTCTGAATATCTCCACTTGTTTTAGCTAGTTAACTTCCTCTTGAATTTTAATGCCAACAGTTCTTCAGACTTCAGTAGGACTTCCAGGCCATTTAATCTACTACCTTTTCATGTTCTTGGTAATTTCATCTTATCCCTTGGCTTTTAATATGAACATTGTGCTGAAAACCCCCAAACTGATATCTAATTGATATTTCCAACTCCAATCTCTCCTTTAACCCCATATTTACTATATTACATTCAGTTTCTCCTTGACGTTTCCATTGGGATATCTAATAGACACCTTAAACTTAACATATCCAAAACAGAATTTTTGATATCATCCCTTCCAACCTGTTCCTCAGTCTTCCTCATTTCAGAAAATGGCAGCTCCATTCTACCTGTTGGACCTTTAGAGTAATTTTTTATTACTCTTTCTCTTAAACTCAATTCATCAGCAAATGCTATGGAATCTTTCTTCAAAATATATTTAGAATATGACAACTTCATACTACTTGTACTACTGCCTTCCTTGTCCTTCCTCATCCAAGTCACTTTCATTTCTCTTTTGGATTATCGAAATCCTAACTGGTCTCCCTGCTTCCACTCTTTTCATATTTCCTCCTGATACTCTGTTTATTGTATACCATCCATAGTGAGCATTTTAAAATGTGTCAGATCATATTGCTCCTTTACTCATAATCCCTCCACTGGCTTCTCAATTTATTCAGAAGAAAAACCAAAGCTTTTATTGTAACTTTATAAGGCCGTACATTATCTGTGTCCTCCCTCTCCTTCCCTACTTTCCAGCCAGACCATTAATTCGTTTTATTTTAGCCATACTGGCCTTTGTGTTATGACTTAGCTTTAAAAGGATTGTGGGCTGGTATATTTAGAAGAGTTTGAAGGGGTTTGTAAAGGAATAGGAAGATCAGTTCTGGGGCCACTGCAATAATTGAGGCAGGGGATGATGGTGGCTTTCAACTATGCTGGAGGTGCTGAGAAGTGAGGAGATTTGGAGTATATTTTGGTGGTTGGACTGTCAGATTTTGCTAGAAACATTTTTTCCTCTCAAGCCTCAAAACTATTGACCCACATTGGACCAAAGACAACTTATAAATGATTTTTAGTAACAAAGGCACAGTTACTGCTACCTGCTCCTTATGTAAAGTTGCAGTTATCTATACCCTTGAAATTTTCTTTCTGTCATCTGTACGCCAGCCCCAGTCCCAATACCACTGGTTGGTCAGTCTGATCCTTAGTAACCAATGCCTTTGGGCAGATAAAAATGCCTCAATGTAGCATTCAGGCAGTTCTGCACTTCCCCGAATTGGCTATACTTTAATATTACCTTTCCCTTATTCTTTTACTGAATCCCACATCAAAATGCACATATCGCTCATGCCCATGGTCTCAGTTGAACGGAATGCAAGGGGAAGATCTTTCTGAGCAAGGGAGAATCTTCCCAGTGTTAGGTAGGATGCCACTCTCATCTTTCTCTGATTCTTTGGCACCATGTTTCTGACTGGTTGGTGATTTCTTTCTTATAAAAAACATATTGCCTTTACAATTTATAGGGGATTATGATTTCTTCTGCTGAGGATTATCCTAATTATTATGGATTTTGGCAGTTTGAGGTTTTCTGATGTAGAATACATCATGCGTTTGCCAAAGATCTTTTAAGTTTCTGATTATAATAGTATATTCAGCTTTTGTATATATTTTTTTGTCTATTGTGTTGTCATTTCTAGAAGCAACAATCTATTTGCCTTTCTTCTTTTAAAATCTTTATAAGCTGAGTAAATTTAAATTATTATGAAAAAGCAGCATTTTGTAAAATGTTATCACTCTTTTTTCCCCTAATCGGAGGAAGTCTGATGAAAGGGAAGAAGGAGTTTTGAGGAAGATGGAGAACTCCTAAGGACCAAAAAAGTGAACCTGTGAAGTGTGCCTGGGAGAGATTGTATTTGAGCTCTGGCTATATAATACATAGTTTCATACTTTCGAATTTCAACAGAAACCACCCTAAGAGAACTGGAAGAGAGAGAAGTGAAAAGAGTGCTTTGAAACTCAGCTTTATTTAGCACCTTGCTGATCTAAAAGTATTACTAGATTCAGAGGAATGAAGAAATATCTAAGGGAGGCCTACTCAATTCTTTTTTTTTCTGTTTGAGATAGAGTCTTGCTCTGTTGCCCAGGCTAGAGTGCAGTGGAGTCATCATAGCTCACTGCAACCTCAAACTCCTGGACTCAAGTGATCCTTCTGCCTCAGCCTCCCGAGTAGCTGGGACTACAGTGGAATGCCACCATGCCCAGCTGACTTTTTCTTTTTGTAGAGACAGGGTCTTGCTCTGTTGCTCAAGCTGGTCTCCAACTCCTCAGCTCAAGTAATCCTCCTGCCTCAGCCTCTGAAAGTGCTGGGATTATAGGTGTGAGATACTATACCCAACCCTAAATTCTTATCTATAGTCGGAACTTCCTTTGATATAGTTAGCAATAAAGAGGATTTTACTGGTAAAGAGGATTTTTTTTCCTTTAATTACACTTTAATTTGATTTATATTTTCCTGTTTAGGTTAGTGCTGTTACTCAGAATTCAAATGTAAATCAGATTCAGACAATTTAGCATTTTCTTGATTTGTATCTTTTGATGACATGGTTATTTGGGGGAATGTTACTCTTCTTTTATCAAGCTTTTATTTGGCAATTACACCTTGATTTTTATGTAATTTCTATAAGCAATTTATTACCTCTTCCTTAAATAATTCATTATTTTTCATATTACCACTGTCGTAACTGTAACTGTTGGGCAGTATATCTACCCTGCTATAGAATGTAAACCCCAGATTGGGCCACTAGGTTGGTAATGTTGTGTTATTCCCAGATGGGTTCTAGAATTAAGGCTTTTAAAAATGTAGTTTAGCCCTTGAATATACCTTGGAAATTTAATTTATATCCACTAGACAGGACCAAAATTGATCTGCAGTTGAGGACTTCCCAGTTTACAGAATCTTTTGATTTGACCTCAGGACATGGAAATTCTTTACCTGACCAGATTTACTTAGTGGTGTTCTGGACACACAGGACTGTCTAAGGCAGGTTGTAGAAAATCCCTGGGGTTCAACCCAATCCTCTCTGTCATCCTTAGGCAGGACTGGCATATCCACTAGTTTTTTTCTTTTTCCGTGTATTTGATGGCACAAGGATTGAAGGTGCTCCTTGGGTTATGAAGATGTTTTGTTTCCTTTTTTTGGTGCATACATTTGTTTTTAATGCTGACTTTATATTTTCTCTCCTTTTATTTTTACAGCGGATACAATCAAGTGACATTTTAAAATTTTGCTGGAAGTGGAGGCATGAGACTGAAGATATCTCTTTTAAAAGAACCAAAGCATATCCTGTTAATACTTATAAACCTTACTGTGATCATCCTATTATATTAATAGTATTATTAAAAGTGTTCTTCTATTTTGAATTCTATAATAATTGGTAAATGGATTTTTTCCATTCCTTTAATGGTAGTTTAGCTAAATTGTTTTTGAAATATTGAAGATCATGTGTTGCCAGTAATTCTCCAAAGCAAACTATTAATATTTGCTTCAAATCTTACTTTCAAATTCTTATTGACATTTTTCTTACTCTACTTAAGCATTTTACTTGAGTCCTTAAAAAGTAGTTTTTGTTTAGTCTAGTAGGATCTTAAAGAGAAGATTTTTGCTCCTCTTCATGGGTGCAAAAATGTAGTTAGAATGAACAATATTTCATAATACACCTGGCAGGAGTGGGGAACCTGTGGCCTTAGGGCCACATGTCGCCTTCTGGATTCTTGAGTGCTGCCTTTTGATTGAATCCAAATTTTACAGAACAAATCTTTTTAATGAAGGATACATTGTTAATTTTCAAGCTGAAGAGTAACATCTTTTTAGACTTTCTTGACCTAACAGTCTTCCCATTCCTCCCATAATTTTAGTAGACCTATTAGTTTGAAGATAACCTGATGGGCATCTGGTGTGCGTATGCGTACATGTGTGTGTGTGTGTGTGTGTGTGTGTGTGTGTGTGTGTGTGTGTGTCTGTTTTCTTCCTTTCTAGGTTTCACCTACATTGTTTAGGTGACACCAATTATATTAGAACAGTTTTTTTCAGAAATGATCTAGTGGTCCTTTTGTTTAGATTGTATTTTGAGTTCTGAGTATTCTGGTGCTACTTTATTACCTATTTTTGTAGACTCTTAAGAGCTTTCTGTAATCTCTTTTTTATCTTTTTGGTTTTTGTTTAATCTGTCATATTTTGAAGTATTAAAAAAATCTTGGAACATCCTATAATAATTATGGCACATTGTTTCTTTCTGTTTCCTCGGATAAAGCAATCAAATGATAGCTCAGATAAGCCAATAAAAGTATTGGTGAGAAAAGAAGGAAGTAAAAGGGTTCTATAATAACAATAAGTGAACAAACAACCCAACCAGGAATGATCTGGCAATATAGAAATCCAAGTGTAGCAAGAGAAAATATCCCTTGTAGGCTGGGCACGGTGGCTCACGCCTGTAATCCTAGCACTCTGGGAGGCCGAGGTGGGCGGATTGTTTGAGCTCAGGAGTTCGAGACCAGCCTGAGCAAGAGCAAGACCCTGTCTCTACCAAAAATAGAAAGAAATTAATTGGACAACTAAAAATATATAGAAAAAATTAGCCGGGCATGGTGGCGCATGCCTGTAGTCCCAGCTACTTGGGAGGCTGAGGCAGTAGGATTGCTTGAGCCCAGGAGTCTGAGGTTGCTGTGAGCTAGGCTGATGCCATGGCACTCACTCTAACCAGGGCAACAAAGTGAGACTCTGTCTCAAAAAAAAAAAAAAAAATCCTTTGTAAATAACAAACTGAAATGCTTTCTCTGTGTACACAGTTCTGCTAGGGTAAGCAGCCTGTCCTGATGGAGGAAGTGAGGACTACTTGAGCATTTCAACTTATATAGAAATCCTTCAGATAAATTAGAGACCAAAAAAATGGGTTAAATAAAGTAAGAATTTTAGGGATCATATCTCATCCATGCAGCACTATGCATTTTATAGCTGTAGTAATTATTATATAATTGAATTATTTCCTAATTTTAATGTCAAAAATTTTGTATTATCAATTAAGATAATAAATAAAATGGAAAAAAGTTTGGTAAGATTTTAGTTTCAGTTGTTAAGCCACGGATTTTTTGTAGGTGAATTGTTATAATGTGATATAAGGAGATTTTTACTGTTCGATTTCAGTCTTCTTTTAACGCTTGTTTTTTTTATTTACCAAAAGAATGCATGCTTGTTTTAATAATTTAAATGGCACAGATATATATGTATGAAGAATATATATAAAGAAAATATATATAAAGAAAAAAGTATAGTTCCTTTTTCTCTCTACCTATTCTCTAACAGTTTAGTGTAGATCCTTTCATATTTTTTGATCTATTAGGTTTCTTTGGTGTATCTTTTGGCTTTCTTTATGGAATATTTTATAACGCAAGTTGTAAATTTTCATGTTGTCAAATCTTTTTCACCTTCTTTTTGGCATTTGGATTTCTTTCTTGCTGTCCATTGTTAACTGTTTTTTTTTTTTTTTTTTTGAGACAGACTCTCACTGTGTTGCCCTGGCTAGAGTGAATGCTGTGGCGTCAGCCTAGCTCACAGCAACCTCAAACTCCTGGGCTCAAGCGATTCTACTGCCTCAGCCTCCCGCGTAGCTGGGACTATAGGCATGCGCCGCCATGCCTGGCTAATTTTTTTTCTATATATTTTTAGTTGTCCAGATAATTTCTTTCTATTTTTTTTAGTAGAGACAGGCTCTCGCTCTTGCTGAGGCTGATCTCGAACTCCTGAGCTCAAACAATCCGCCCGCCTCGGCCTCCCAGAGTGCTAGGATTATAGGGGTGAGCCACCGCGCCCGGCCCATTGTTAACTGTTTTGATAGATGCTTATTTTTCTTTATATGGAAAAAATATCAAAATCGTAAATGAAAAATGCATTTAGAAATTTGAAAATATTTTACCCTATTTTACTTTCTTCTTCTAATCTGCATCTATGAATTATTTTATTAAGATTTAAGACTTTTATATATGTTTTATGTCTCCTTAACATGGTGACACATCAAGAATTAGTAAGCTGTGTGGGCTGGACTACTGCTGAAGAGCTGTATTCATGTAGTGATGATCATCAGATAGTGAAGTGGAACTTGTTAACTAGTGAAACAAGTCAAATAGTAAAGCTTCCTGATGATATTTACCCTATAGATCTTCACTGGTTTCCAAAAAGTTTAGGCGTAAAGAAACAGACTCAAGCAGAAAGCTTTGTCCTCACAAGTTCTGATGGTAAGTTTTTAGTAAATGGTACGTGCTCATCTTTGTATTTAAGAGATATATTAGTATGATTTATGCTTTGAGTTGTTTTACAAAACTATTTATGGATCTGCATACCTTCATCCACATATTTTATTTCTGTACAGTCACTTGGTTTGTGTATAGGCTATAAAACTACTGTCATGGAAGAAAGTGAATTAAACTGGTATATACTGGGATTGAATCTGGGCCTTTGGCCTAACTTTTTCAGTGCTCTTGTGAGTTGAGTTAAGATATTATCAAAGTTTTAGTTTCTAATTTCTTCAAATTTAACTTAATGACATAGCCACACTAAAAACATATGGATATACATACCCATTTAGTAAGTGATCTCTTAAATATATCCTGTATTTTCTAATGCATATTAATTTCCAGTTACAGAGTTGAAGATTTATATAATTTGGCCATAGATTTAGTATTGTTGAATAGAAAGCACGATTTTTCTACTTTTTAAGGGAATGTTTTTTTGTTTTCTTACAAATAGTTGAACTATTTTCGTCTGTATTATACTTTATCTACAGTGTCAATTAGGGGTACATTCATTAAAAGTAACAGAGACTTACTTGGCTAACTTATGCACAAATGAAATTTTTTGATTCACTTAGCTCTAGGAGTATATCAAGCATTAGCTACATTAAGGCCTCTGTTCTTACCATCTCTTGAGTAAGAACATCATGTAGGTTCTCTCCACATGGTGAGCATATTGGTGGCCAGTAGCCTGAGGCTCATCATACTAGATAAGAAATGTGGCAGAAAGACTGCTTCTTCCTCAATATCTCTTGCAGTCAAGTTGCAGAGGGACCCTAAATAACCTTGAGTCATGTGCTCATCATTGAATGAATCACTTTAGTCAAGGGAATGGGACACTCAGAGCATGTCAAGCCTCAGGCCACCCATATGCAAAGGGAAGAGAAAGGGAAGAGGGATCTTGCAAATCAGATGAGAGAAGGGATGTTATAGCAAACAGTAACATCAGGTTACACTTCATTTACAGAGAGACTTGTGGTAGTTTTGTTTTTTTTTAACTGCTTTTTTTTTGAAACTTGATTAAATGAGATGTATGTATGAAAGCACTTGGGGCAGTACCTCGTGCTTAGAAGATTGGCTCTAAACCACAGCTAGAATTTAGGTTACCTCACATGATAAGGTAAAACGTTGACTTTTAAAAAAAAAATTCTTTACCTTGAATATAATTTAACATTTACAGAAAAGTTGTAAGAATTGTACAAATAATTCCTCTGTGTCCTTTATCCCGATTCACTAGTTTAATACTTTGTCTTTTATAGTTTACCATTGGCTCTCCTTTCTCTCTTTCTATACACACATAAACAAAATTTTTTTCTGAAAGTTTTGAGAGTAATTTGCAGACATACATCTTTAACCATAAATACTTCAGTTGATATCCTAAGATTAAGGATTTTCTGTTATATTGCCATAATACATTGATCAAAATCAGGAAATCTAACATTGATGCAATACTATTATATAATGTACAGATCATATTTAAACTTTAACAATTGTCCTAATAATGTCTTTTGTAGAAATTTGTTTTTGATAGTAAAGGATAACATATTGCTTTTGTCATGTTTCTTTGGCTTCCTTTTATCTGGAACACCTCCTCAGCCTTACTTTTATGATCTTGATGGTTTTGAAGAATACAGGCCTGTTATTTTATAGAATGTTCCCCAATTTGTGTTTAATGTATCATCACAATTAGATTCAATTTACACAGTTTTAGCAGGAATATTCAGAGCATCAGATTCGGAGATTCATGATGTTGGTTTGACCCATTATTGGTGGTGTTAACTTTAATTACTTGGTAAGTATTCATTAAATTAATCCACTGTAAATTTACTATTTTTCCTTTTCATAAATAATTTGTGAGAGGATATTTTGAGACTATGTAAAAATATTCTCTTCCTCATCAAACTTCCTCCCACTCTCTTAGCATCTATTGATGATTCTTGGCTGAATCATCTGTAACTTAGATAGTTTGCCAAATGGTGATTTTTCTAAATCTATTGTTCCTTCCATATTGATTAGCTGATATTCTACTCCAAGAAGAGCTTCCTATCCCATGCCCATTTATTTATTTGTTTGTTTGATCAGGTTAGACTCATAGATTCTTATTTTATTTCATGACTATTCTATTACTATCATTTTAAAATTTTGATTTAAAATTGTCCCAGATTTTAAATCCCAGTCCCAGTGGGTCCCCATTAAGCCAGCCAGTGATTTTTTTTTTTTTTTTGTATGTGTCCTCATCATTTTTTGAGTATTTTTTTGTTGGCACAGGATGTTCTAGGCTTATTTTGTACTTTCTCAGTCCCAGCCCCCAAATCAGCCATTTTCCAAGGAGACCTGTTCTTTTTCTGTTGGTTAGCAGTATTTAAAAAATAAGATAGCAGTGCTAGCTGTGCTCGTTCCAATAGCGTGTGTTTGATTCAAGGCCGTTTCAGCAGACAGAGCTAAGAACTATTAATATGAATATGTATAAAAATGCATATCTATAACTATGTCTCTATGTCTTTCTTTCTATTTGTTTTAAAAGCCATGAGTTCATTCTGATACTATCAATTCTAATTCAGCACCACAGGGTTAATTCTAATCTTTCCTTTTTCTGTACTTAGAGACAGTAGGAAATCTGGTTCCCATTATTCTCAATATATTTGTTTATTTGTTTAATTCTATAATACATAGTAGTTTCAGAATTGCTAACCCATACTGCTGCAAAAATTAATCTAATTAGAGTTCAGTATTTGTTTACTGTTGTTTCCATCTTCAGACTGAGGATATAGAATCAAAGTCTTGTGTTCAAAAGCTACTTGCATTGCCCCCCTGCTTAAGTGTGTTTGTGTTATTCATTTGAAATGTAGGTAGACGTATGTATTTCTGTTTGTTTTCCACTTAAGGTCTCCCTGTCTACCATCTTACTGATTTGATTATTTTTTAGATATGTAAATCATTAACATGGATGCTTCCACAAAGTCAAAACTATGTTAAACAAATATACTGAGAACAATGTCACTAACCTCACGCACTCAATCCCATACGTCCTGTTTCTATTGATTCCCTGTAGGTAACCAATCTCTTTGGTTCTGGTTTGTCCTTCCTATGCTTCTTTTGGCAGAAATAAACAGATAGATGTATATTTTCTCATTTCACCTTTTTTATTACAGAAGGTAGCATACCATGTATTTTCTTTACATTTTTTCATTTAAACTCAACAGTATACGAGGATTGACTTTTATCTGGTGAATTTGGACAGTAAACATAATTAGTCCTGATAATTTCTGTTGTCCAAGTGTTTCCCTGAGTTTTTAACATTACTTATTCACAAGTAACTAAAGAACGATTGCTTGGGTATATGTTTCACAATGGCTTTTGATAAAACACTTTCTGATAAGAAAAAAAATCTAAAAACAAATATAATTTAAAAGATAAATTTTCAAGAGTGGCAAGGGAAATATATTAAGACTCAAGAAACTGTAACATGTAATTTTATTTTTAGGTTTACTAAACAAACAAAAAAATAAGACAACATAACATACCACAACTAGATGTAAGGAGAAGAGAGAACCAAAGTAGAGTAGTTGAGTATTTTTCTCCTAGGCTGGGATGGGAGGATATCTGGGATTTTGTGAAAGTATGGGAAAAAAGGATGATAGAGCAAAGAAAAGAAGTGGAAGAGTGAGACAGAAAACAGCATCCAGAAATAAAAAATAAAGTTTCGAAGAAGGTAGATGCCATTGGAAGGTAGTCAAGGTTTCTCCTGCCACATAAACATCTGAGGACATTTTATATATCAATGCTATGTTCTTTTTTTAACCAAATACTTTTTAAATTGTGGTAAAAAAACACATAACATGAGATTTACCCTCTTAAATTTCTAAATGTACTGTACAGTGGTATTAACTATAAGTGCATTGTTGTATGCAGATCTCTAGAACTTGTTCGTCTTGCATGTTAACCCAATATTTAAAAAAAAAAATACTTCAAGATTTAATTCATTGTTTAAGCATTTCTTTTTCTCATTTTCTCCAACTTTATATTCTTGGTTTTTCTCCTTCCAGGCTGGCAGAAAAGGAAGTAACAGTTTTTGAATTTGTTGATCACTGTTCCAGTGTTCCCTTTGTCTGCCTCCCTCCCTCTTCTGTATTAATGACAACACTGGAAAAAAAAAAATCTCTGAGATTTGGGGCAGGTCCTGAAGTACACAGAGCAGACTTTTGCCAAGTATTTTGTCTCACCAATATTTTTCTCTTCAATATTATTTCCTCTTTTTAAATATTCATGAAGCTGTATACTACTTTTTAGAGATGTTTCTTTAACAATATGTTAAAGATTTACATATAAAAATAGTTGAATTATTTATTTGTTTATTTTTTAGAGACACGGTCTCACTCTGTCTCCCAGGCTGGAGTGCAGTGGCGCCATCATAGCTCGTTGCAGCCTCAAACTCCTGGGTTTAAGTGATCCTCCTGCCTCAGCCTCCTAAGTAGCTGGGACTGCAGGTGTGAGCCACCATGCTCAGCTAATTTTAAAATTTTTTTAGAGATGAGGTCTCACTATGTTGCCCAGGCTGGTTTCGAACTCCTGAGGTGTTCCTCCCACCTTGGCCTCCCAAAGTGCTAGGATTACAGACATGAGCCACCATGCCTGGCCAAAAACATAACTGAAATATTTAAAATGTACCAGGGGAACTTTCATGTAAAGGAGTTTTGATATAAAACCTTTTGTAAAGCCATTAAACACTCTTTAAATTATATTTAGTGAAAGTTAATTTTTTTACATTGTATTAGATATCTTAAAATAATTCACATATTCTCTTATTGGTTAATATGTCCATTTTAAAATTTATATGTTCATTTTTTTGTATCAGAAGTTAGCCATTACAATCTGTTTGTGACTTTTCACAGCCATTGCCAAAATATTTCTGCTATTAAGCGGTCTGCAAACGTATTTGTGTGCCCTTTTTCCTAACACCCTGTTCCAAGTCTTCTCACATTCCCATGGATATTTCGTAAGGCATTTTTAATTTTTAAAAATGTGTTTCATATATTTTAAAAATCTACTTATTCTGTTCCTTTTCTGATTTGTAACTTTTTCCTCTTTTTAGTTTGGATTGATTCATCTTTTATTATATAACAAAAGATTAATTTTACTCCTCAGGGTTTAACTATCCATCTTTTTAATCCAAATCATCTATTGCTTGTTTAATAAATGGATAAATGAATCATCCTGGCTACATTCTCTTTCCAACTCCAACTCCTAGCAAGTAATTGGAAATAAATTAATTGATCTCTAGTTTTGGTCTTGCATTTTAAAAACGTTATAGAAGAGCTGGAAAAGTTAAAGAGAAGAAGAACCAAAATAGTTAAATGGATAATTATGGGCTTTAAATATTTGATTATAAATTTTATGTTTATACCTTACCTTGCTATTTAAGAAATTTATAACAATCAGAAAAAATACAGAGGCCAAAGATTTGTTGAGTGCCAAATCTAATAAAAAATGACCTCAGTTGTCCCAGGATATGTCTTCTGTGAGGTTATGGGAAGCAAGAGTAATTTTAGCACTTGTCAGAAAAATCAATATTAGGTATTTTAGAATAAGAAATATCAGTGATCTAAATACATAAAATTTCTAAAAAATGGAATAGGTTGAAAGACAATTTCTGAACTCCACATTTCCGGTTAAGAGTTATTTGGCTAATCTCTTTAGTGATGGATTCATTCATTATGTACAACAATTATGTGGATATTGTGTGCTAGGCAGTATGCTAATATTTATTGAAACAGACCTGTATAAAGTAAATAATGGCAACATAATTAGCTTCTCCCTAACTATATGTCTGTCATCTTTACAGTTTCCTTTTTTGAGAGTTTTCCCCCTTTTATTTTCTTTGTAAAGCAATGCATTAAAAAAATATATCCAAATTAATTTAGTCTCATAAGGAGAGTAATAATAGCACAAATTCAAAGTAATCTTGTTACATTAGAAAAATGACCCAGCAGTAAACATAAAATTAAGAGAAAGACATGGTGAAAAGTAGATGGTGCTAGTGGGTGGTTAGATGAAAGGAAAGGGTAGCTTATTGTTGAGAGCCTAGAAAATGAATAATGGGTAAAGAAAGCCATCAAAATGAATGAGAGAGTAGGGAAAGTCAAAGTAGGCCATTTTTTGATCTCTGAGTTGGTTAAATTTAACAAATGCTGATTATGTAAATACATTACTCCAAATAAAAATATGACTAAGACATGGTCTCCTGTCCTGAAAGGAATCATAGCCCAGTAAAAAATGCTACAACATCGCTACAAATAAAGTGTGCTGTGTATAGAAAAAAGGAAATGACTTTGTTGGTGGGAATGGGGAGGTGGCACAGGGTGCTAGGTATTCAATGTTTTAAAGCTATCTTAGACATCTGACTTAAATATATTTTTAATGAATTGTTAATATTAGGTTACAATCTTGAAAAGTAATAAGTGAAAAGTGATTTTAAATAAAATAAATTCTCTGAGCCAAAATTTGATGAGGCAGCTATATTATTCTTTTATTGTGAAAAAACATATTTTTTTTTGATTTGGGGAGAAGTTTCACTGTATGTCTTAGCCCATTTTGTGCTATTAGAACACCTGAGATAGGGTAATTTATAATAAACAGATATTTATTTGGCCCACAGTTCTGGGACCTGGGGAGTCCAAGGGCATGGTGCTGGCATCTGCTCAGCATCCAGCGAGGGCCTTCTTGCTGCATCATCCCATGGCAGAAGGCAAGAGGGTGAGAGAGGTTGAAAGAGGGAAGGGGGCTGGACTCACACTTTTATCAGAAACTCTCTCCTGTAATAACTAACCCACATCCTTGATAACAGCATTAATTCATTGATGAGGGCAGAGCCCTCATGACCTAATCACCTCTTAAGGTCCTACCTCTTAACACTGTTGCATTGGAGATTATGTTTCCAACACATGAACTTTGGGGGACATACTCAAAATGAATTTTGGAGGACACATTCAAACCATAGCACTGTACTTTTATTATTTTATTATTGGCTACATATTACTAGACTTAATGATCATTCAAAAACCACGCTGATTATTTCTTATATTCTTTTATTACTTTTTTTTTTTTTGGTAAATAGAGATAGAGTCTCACTCTGTTGCCCTGGCTAGAGTGCAGTGGCATGATCATAGCTCACTGCAATATCAAACTCCTAGACGCAAGTGATCCTCCTGCCTCAGCCTCCTGAATAGCTGGGACTATAGGTGTGCGCCATCATGCTGGCTAATCTTTCTATTTTTTGTAGAGATGGGGTCTCACTCTTGCTCAGGCTGGTCTCAAACTGCCTACCTCAAGCGATCCTTCCGCCTTGGCCTACCAGAGTGCTAGGATTACAGGCATGAGCCACTGCACCTAGCCTCTTTTATCACTTATTCTTTGCACAGTTGGTTTGTCCCGTTGACATCACATATAATTTGCTTATGGCCTTTAAAGTTATAAGGTTTTTACTTTTTGCCTATTTATGGCCTTTTTGAGGACAGTAGCTAAGTGGCCTACTTTTTGTCTACCTGTTGCCTAGCACAGTGTAAAATCATATAAGGCAAGTATTTTAAAACCTGCAACTATTCATTTTACTATTTTGGTTCCTCTTCTTTATACTTCTTTCAGCTTTTCTATAGCCTGTTAAAAAAGTCACGACGGTAAAATTCTGCTTAAATAGAAGGCTTTCTTGATATTTCCCTTGACACTCCATGCCCCCCCACCATATATATGACAGCAGAGTTTTATTGTCCCTCTAAACTATGATCGCACTACTTAGGTCTATTATACTACTTGTTTCAAGGTTTACAATTCTTTTTTTGTGTCTTTTTTCCAATAGATTTGTTTGTTTCTTGAGATTAAGAATAATTATATTATTTGCTCTTATGCCTCCAGTGCCTAGTTTGTCTAGTTACTATAACTAGTCTAGTAGCAAGTACTCAACTTACGTTTGTCGATTCAATAAATTAATTTAATAAAATAGATTTTTCAAATGTAATTTCTTTTAGGTAAATTTCATCTGATATCCAAGTTAGGAAGAGTGGAAAAAAGTGTAGAAGCTCACTGTGGAGCTGTACTTGCAGGAAGATGGAATTATGAGGGAACAGCATTAGTTACAGGTAAGTTATTTGCAAAAATGATATTTTACATGAATTTTTTAAAGAAAAATTTCCAAAGACAGAGTATTTTTGTTTAGCAATATTGTCTTTTCCTGTCTAATAGCAAATAATTAGCCCAGTATTTATCTAGACCAGTATATAAATGTTATAATTCAGCATGTGATATTAATTGTTAGTTTTCTTATATTACTTTAGGAGATTATCTTATAAAAGAAGGCTTTAGGAGTGGTCAAATATGTGATAAATAAAAGTTGTAATTCTTTAAAATTCTAAAATTTAAAATATTCTCATTTTATCCACCTTCTGTCTCTTTCCTATCCCCTGCCCTACTCCAAGGAGTCTTATCTTCACCTATTGCATTAGTTATCTATTGCTGCATAACAGATTACTCCAATGGTTAGTGACTTAAAATGCTAAACTTACAGTATCTGACAGTTTCTGTGGGTCAGGGAGCAGTTTAGGTTGGGTGGTTCTGTCTAACTCAGAGTTTTTCATGAGGTTCCAGTAAAGTTGTTGCATGGGGCTACAGTCATATGAAGGCTCGACTGGGATTTGGAGAATCCACTTCCAAGATGGCTTACTCACATGGCTGTTGGTAAGAGGCCTTAGTTCCTCTCTGGCTTTGGCAGGAGACCATAATTCCTTGCCACATGGTCTTCTCCATAGGGCTCTTTAAGTGTTTTTATTAATACAACATGGCATCTGGCTTCTCCCAATGAACAAAAAGAAAGCAAGATAGAAGCCACAGTATCTTTTGTGATGCACACTCAGAAGTCATACTCCATAATTTTCATTACATTCTGTTTGTTAGAAGAAAGTCACTAAGTGCAACCCATACTGAAAGAGAAGGGAATTAAGCTGCACCTCTTGAAAGGAAGAATAATGAAGAATTTGTAGATATGTTTTAAAACTACCATACCATGAGCACTGTTACCACTTCTATTCAACATGGTACTGGAAGTCCTAGCCAGAGCAATCAGGGAAGAGAAGGAAATAAAGCGTATCAAGTCAGGAAAGAGGAGGTCAAACTATCACTTTTTGCTGATGATACAATCTTGTATCTAGAAAAATCCCAAAGACTCCACCAAAAGACTCCTAGAGTTGATAAATAAATTCAGCAAAGTCTCAGGTTACAAAATAGATGTACACAAATCAGTAGCATTTCTATATACTAATAGCAGTCAAGCTGAGAGTCAAATCAAAGACCCAATACCATTCACAATAGCTACAAAGAAAATAAAATACTAGGCATATACTTAACTAAGGAGGTGAAAGAGCTCTACAAGGAAAAGTATAAAATACTGATGAAAGAAATTACAGATGACACAAACAAATGGAAAAATATATTATGCTCATGGATCGATAGAATCAACGTTATTAAAATGTCCATATACCCAAAGTGATTTACAGATTCAAGGCAATACCCATCAAAATACCAATGTCATATTTCACAGATCTGGAAAAAATAATTCTATGTTTCATTTGCAACTGAAAAGAGCCCGAATAGCCAAAGCAATCCAAGCAAAAAGAAAAAATCTGGAGGCATCACACTACCAGACTTCAAATAGTACAAGGCTATGGTAACCAAAATAGCATGGTATTGGTATAAAAGTAGAGACATAGACCAATGGAATAGACCAGAGAACCCAGATATAAAACCATCTACCTACAACTAACTTATCTTCAACAAAGCAGACAACAACATACACTGGGGAAAGAAAGCCCTATGCAATAAATGGTGCTGGGAAAACTGTATGGCACCTGCAGAAGAATGAAGTAGGACCCCGTATCTCTTGCCGTATACAAAAATTAAGTCAAGATGGATAAGAGACTTAAATGTAAGGCATGAAACCATAAAAATTCTAGAAGAAAGTGTAGGCAAAACTCTTCTAGACATTGGTCTAGGCAAAGAACTTAATACTGAGACCTCAAAGGTAATTTCAGCAATAATGAAAATAAATAAATGGGACTTGATTAAATTAAAAAGTTTCTGCACAGCAAGGAAAATAATCAACACAGTAAATAGACAACCTACGGAGTGGGAGAAAATATTCACAAATTATACATCCAATACAGGGCTAATATCCAGAATCTACAAAGTACTCAAATCAGCAAGAAAAAACAACCCCATTAAAAAGTGGGCAAAAGACATAACAGAAGTTTTTCAAAAGAAGTTAGACAAATGGCCAACAAAAATGTGAAAATATACTCAACATCACTAATCATTAGGGAAATGCAAATTTAATTCACAGTGAGATATCACCCTATCCCTGTCAGAATAGCTATTATTAAAAAGTCAAAAAACAATAGATGCTAAAAGCGAGGGCATGGAGAAAGGAATGCTTATACACTGTCGGTAGGACTGCAAATTAGTACAACTGCTGTGGAAAACAGTATGATGATTCCTCAAAGAAATAAATATAGACTTACCATTGGACCCAGCAATCCCACTACTGGGTATCTACCTAAAGGAAAAGAAGTCATTTTATCAAAAAGACACCTGTACTTGAATGTGTATTGCAGCACAATTCACAATCCCAAAGATGTGGAATTAACATATGTGCCCATCAATTCATGAGTGTATTTATAAAATGTGGTGTATGTGTATGTGCCATGGAGTACTACTCAGCCATAAAAAGGAATGAATTAATGTCTTTTGCAGAAATTTGGATGAAACTGGAGAACATCATCCTAAGTGAAGTATCTTAGGAATGGAAAAACAAACACCACATGTGTTCTCTAATAATTTAGAACTAATCAATGGGCACATACAGACACAGAGAGAAGTAAAAGTCATTGGACATCAAGCTGGGGGAAGGGGTAAAAACCTACTTATTAGGTACAATGAACACTATTTTGGTGATGGGCACACTAACAGCCCTGACTTAAGCATCGTAAAAGCTATCCATGTAATGAAAACATTTGTATCCCCTTAGTATTTTGAAAACAAAACAAAACAAAACCATAATACCTGTCCTTTGGGCCTTCTCTGGGACTTTTCTCAGTGAATTGTCCCTTTTCTTGCTTATCTTTAACCTCTACTTTTCCAGTGGTTTCTTTGTCAGCATATAAATGTGTTCGTACATCACTCATCTTAAAAATTAAGAAGAAAGAAATAAAAACCCCTCCCTTAACAAACAACTTTCTCTAGCTACAACTTCCTCTTTCTTTCTTCCGTTTTTAGCCTAGCTGTTCAATAGAGTAGTCTATTGCCTCACCTTATTCAGTTCCCAACTCACTGAAATATGGCTACAGCTCTTCTTACTGCACTGAAAACAATTTTCTTAGAATTCTATGATAGATATTGCAGTGACAGTGGAAACATTATTTGAATAATATACTCATAAGTCTTCTAAGATTGAAGGAAAAAATAAAAATTTTAGTCATGAAAGTTAGGCTACTTTGATAAGATTGTTTCAAAGTAATTTCTATTAAATTTAATGGTTATAAAGCACTTGGTCATTTAATTAAAGTTAATTGTATCTGAATTTTAAATATGCAGTAATATAGATACTGTTGATTTTGTATGCAAATTTAATGTTCAAATTTATTTTCTGTAGATAAAAGTATTAATTAATTTTTTTCCCTGTACAGTTGGAGAAGATGGACAAATAAAAATTTGGTCAAAGACTGGGATGCTTAGATCAACTTTAGCTCAGCAAGGTATGTTTTATAATTGATAATTTTATTTTTGACAATTGTAAAATACAGAAATGCCTTAACATTTAATATAGTAATTGAGAGTGACTTTGGTCAAGTTCAAAACCTGAAATCTCTTATTTCTGTTTATACTTTTTCTTCTTACTTTCTGTGATGCCTCATGCCTGATGGGCCACAGTAACCATATTATTCAGGCTAAGAAATATAAGAAATACTAATGGGCTTTTTCTTTACGTTGGCGAATCTATATAAAGGCAGTTACTGGCTAAATAGTTTTAAAAAATAATTCTGAAGCATTTGAAGCATGTCTTATATAGAATAGCATTTGGTGTCTAGTTAAGTAAATCATAGTCAGAAAAGACATTGATTATCCTAATAACTTCATGATATTGATTATCCTAATAACTTCATGATATTAGCACCCTTTCCAAATTATGTTGTATATTTGATCTCTATACTAATGGAGGGAAATAGACATGCTGATGAGCTGAAACTTGGTAAATCCACACTATTTAGAGGAACATCTCAGTTTTCCATGTTAATAGAAAGAAGTGGCAATTCCTGTTGGGATTCAGATTATATATGATTTTTTTCTGTGTGACAGATTAATTTTCCTAATTAGATGTTTTGTTTTGTTTTTGACACGGTGTCACCCTAACATTGCCAAGCTGATCTCAAACTCCAGGGCTCAAGCAATCCTCTCACCTCAGCCTCCCAAGTTGCTGGGACTATGAGTGTGCACCGCTGTGCCTGGCTTACCTAGGAACAGGAAAACAGTTTTAATGTTTACCTGAGCATGTATCAGCTGATCTTTAGAGACAGGTTGCCAAAAAACTTGCAAACTATTCTTCAGAATTATATGATAAAGTTATACTGTGAAGCATCTTTAATAACTAACTGCCAAAAGTTTCCAGATTGCATTTTAAAAACCCATGTTTACCCTTAAGATAATGTTCAAATGATTTACATTTCTTTAACTATATATTGACGGAATGTTAGCAAAGCTAAACAGAAATACTAGGAAGTTTTTCTTTTCTGAGATTAAATGTTTGCTATGGATCATCTCCAAGTAATATTTATCCATGAGTAGAAAATTTAGAGTTCATAGAAGCATTCATGGGTGAATTTCAGTTAAAGAAAAAGTCAATTTATTGTTACTTTTAATAAAATGTACTTTTAGAAAGTAAATCTTACTTTAATCTTCTAGTAGACATGGGAATTTACTTTTGGGTTTGTAGATTTTTCTGTTAAGGCTAATTATTTGACATTCTCACTTAGTGACGAATGACTTAATGAGCAATTGACAGAATTCTTCCAGAGATCACCGGCCTCTTGGAAGAACTGCAAGAAATTCAAGTTGTGTTGCTGAGGCTGCAGTTCTTTTCAACTGTTGCTGCTGCTGAGACATACCCTTTTTTACTTTCTTCTTCTTATTATTTTTTATTTTTATTTTTTAGGTAAACAGGGTCTCGCTCTGAACAGCGCAGGCTGGAGTGCAGTGGCACAATCATAGCTCACTGTAGCTTCAAACCCGTGGGCTCAAGGGATCCTCCTACTACAAACTCCCAAGTAGCTGGGACTACAGGCATGTGCCACCATGCCTGGCTAATTTTTATTTTTTTAATCATTTTGTAGAGATAGGGTCTTGCTATGTTGCCCAGAATCGTCTCTAACTCCTGGCCTCAAGTGATCCTCCTGCCTCGGCCTCCCAAAGTGCTGGGATTATAGGCATGAGTCACCATACTCAGCCATTTTTTTCCTTTCCTTTCTATTTTTTCTATTGATTTGTTGCTCACAGATGACAGATCTTCAGAGAAATTCTGAAAACTTATCCCACTAGGTACCATAGAAGATGCTTTTTTCTTTCCTTTGTTTTCTTTTTTTTTTATTTTAATAGATTTAGCAGGTAAAAGTTGAGTTCCATTACATGTATATATTGTATAGTGGTGAACTGTGGTCATCACCCAAATATTATACTTTGTACCCCACAGGTGATTTTTCATCCCTCTCCCCCTCCCTTCTTTTGAGTCTCCAATGTCCATTGTTGTACCACTCTGTGTGCCCTTGTGTAGCCATAGTTTGGCTCCCACTTATAAGTGAGAACATGCAGCGTTTATTTTTCTGTTCCTGAGTTACTTCACTTAGGTTAATGGCCTCTAGTTCCATCCAGGTTGCTGCAGAAGACATTATTCATTCTTTCTTGATCCTGAGTAGTACTCCATGGTATATATACATACCACATTTTCTTTATTTACTCATCAATTGATGAGCACTTAGGTTGATTTCATATCTTTGCAATTGTGAATTGTGCTGCAATAAACAGCATTACATCTTTTTGATAGCCAGTAGTGGGACTGCAGGAACAAATGGTACCTCTACTTTTAGTACTTTGAGAAATCTACATAGAGTTTGTACTAGTTTACATTCCTACCAACAGTGTATAAGTGTTCCCTTTTCACTGCATCCAAGCCCACATTTATTGTTTTTTGACTTTTTAATAATGGCCTTTCTAATTGAAATAAGATGGTATTTAATTGTGGTTTGAATTTGCATTTCCCTGCTAATTAGTGATGTTGAGCATTTTTGGGCCATTTGTGTATCTTCTTTTGAAAAATTCCTGTTCATGTCATTTACATACTTTTAATGGGGGTTTGTTTTTTTCTTGCTAAGTTGTTTGAGTTCCTTGTAGATTCTGGATGTTATCTTTTCTTGGACACATAGTTTGCAAATATTTTCTCCCATTCTATAGGTTGTTTATTTACTCTTTTAATTATTTCTTTTACTGTGTGGAAACTTTGTAGTTTCATTAAGTCCCATTTGACTATTTTGTTTTTATTGCATTTGCTTTTGGGGTCTTAGTAATAAATTCTTTGACTAGGCAAATGTCCAGAAGAGTTTTTCCTAGGTTTTCTTCTAGAATTTTTATTGTTTCAAGTCTTACATTTAAGCCTTTAATCTATCTGCAGTTAATTTTTGTATATGGTGAGAGATAGGCATCTACTTTCATTCTTCTACATATAGCTATCCAATTTTCCCAGGACCATTTATTGAATAGTATGTCCTTTCCCCAGTGTCTGTTTTTGTTTGCTTTGTCAAAATGAGTTGATTGTAGCTATATAGTTTTATTTCTGCATTCTGTATTCTATTTCGTTGATCTATGCATCTACTTTTATGCCAGTGCTGTACTGTTTTGGTTACTATAGCCTTGTAGTATAATTTGAACTCAGATACTGTGATGCCTCTAGTTCTGTTCTTTTTTGCTTAGGTTTGCCTTGGCTATTCAGGCTCTTTTTCAGTTCCATATGAATTTTAGAATTGTTTTTTCTGATTCTGTGAAAAACGACATTGGTATTTTGATAGGAATTACATTGAATTTAAAGATTACTTTGGGCAGTGTCATCATTTTCACAATATTAATTCTTTGGATCCATCAACATAGGATTTTTTTCCACTTGTTTGTGTCATCTGTGATTACTTTCATTAGTGATTTGTAGTTCTCTTTGTAGAGATCTTTCACCTGCTTGGTTAAATTTATTCTTAGATATTTTATTTTTCTTGCAGCTATTGTAAATGGGATTAAGTTCTGCATTTGCTTCTGAGCATGGCTATTCTTGGTGTATATAAATGCTATTGATTTTTGTACATTGGTTTTATAACTGAGACTTTGCTGAATTTATTTATCAAATCTAGTTGTCTTTTGGAAGAGTCCTTAGGGTTTTCTAAGTATGAGATCATATCATCAGCAGAGATAATTTGACTTCCTCTTTTCCAACTTGTGTGCCCTTTATTTCTTTCTCTTGCCTGATCACTCTGGCTAAGACTTCCAGTATTATGTTGAATAGATGTGGTGACAGTGGCATTCTTGTCTTGTTCCAATTCTCAGAGCAAATGCTTTAAACTTTTCCCCATTCATTATGATGTTTATTGTGGGTTTGTCATGTATGGCTTTTATTATATTGAGATATGTTTCTTCCATGCTGAGTTTTTTGAGGGTTTTTATGCTGAAGGGATGCTGGATTTTATCAAATGCTTTTTCCACGTCTATTGAGATGATAATATGGTTTTAGTTTTAAATTCTGTTTATGTTGTGAATCACATTTATTTATTTATTTATCGAGACAGGGTCTCGTTCTCTTGTCTGGGCTAGAGTGCAGTGGCATGGTTGTGGCTCACTGGAATATCAAACTCCTGGGCTCAAGAAATCCTCCTTCCTCAGCCTCCCAAGTAGCTGGGACTACAAGCACGCACCACCACGCCCAGCCAATTTTTCTATTTTTTTTTGTAGAGATAGGGTCTTTCTCTTGCTCAGGCTGGTTTTGAGCTTCTGACCTGAAGCCATTCTCCTGCCTCGGCCTCCCAGAGTGCTCGGATTACAGGCATGAGGCACCATGCCTGGCCACATTTATTGATTTGCATATATATATTTTTTTGAGATAGAGTCTCGCCTTGTTGCCTGGGCTAGAGTATGGTGGCATGATCATAGCTCACTGCAGCCTCAAACTCCTGGGCTCAAAAGATTCTCCCACCTCAGCCTCCCAAATAGCTAGGACTGCAGTCGCATGCTACTGCAGCTGACTGATTTTAAAATTTTTTGTAGAGATGAGGACTCACTGTTGCCCATTCTGTTCTTGAACTCCTGGCCTCAAGCAATCCTCCCACCCTGGCCTCCCAAAGTGCTGGGAATACAAGTATGAGCTATTGTGTCTAGCCCAATTTGCATATGTTGAACCACCCTTGCATCCCTGGGATGAAACCCACTTCATTGTGGTGAATTATCCTTTTCATGTGCCATTGGATTTGGTTTGGTAGTATTTTGTTGAGGATTTTTGCCTCTATGTTCATCAGAGATAGTGGTCTGTAACTTTCTTTTCTTGTTGCATCTTTTCCTGGTTTTGGTGTTAGCGTGATGTTGGCATCATAGTATGAGGTAGGGAGGAGTCCCTCCTTCTTAGTTTTTTGGAGCAGTTTCAGTAGGATTGGCACCAATTCTTATTGTATGTCTG